GGCCGGGTGTCCGTATTTATAGGTGCGCGCGCCCTGCGCTCGCGCTCCGGAGCGCTCATTGCAATAACACGGAATCACGTGTGGGGAATGCGACCTGGGAGGAAAACAAAGCCGCAGGCGGCGGCCGCGGAGGCAGGCGGCTGGAGGCGAGGAGCCGCGGGAGGAGGAAGAGGAGGACCGGAGAGCCGAGCGGGTGGCGGGGCGGGGGATCGGCCGGGCTGTCCGGGATGTCCGAGCTGCCTGCGACTCCCGGAGTGCGCGAAAGCCAAGTGCGGGAGGCGAGCACGTTTCCCTGCGCGCTCGCACTGGGAATTCGGGGAGCGAGCCGAACTCGGTGGGCTAGGGTCTGGGGCTGTGCTCCCGGGAGAGTTGTGGGTCTGCAGGACAGTTGTGTGGAGCGTTGTAGAGTTTTGGACCGCGAGCGAGTTACTTGGACCCCGCGTGGCCGTTGGTCCCCAAGAAGTAAATAGGTCCTTATGCCTAGTAACAGGAGTAGGTCCACAGCCCCTAAGTAGACTGTCCCAGCATAAAGCTGTCGCTAACAACCATTGGGGTTGGGTCTCATTCATTCCCAGGCCAAGGATGCAGCCCCCGAGATAAATGCACGCCTTGGGGTGCATAAGCGCCCAGAAGCACGAACATCTTCCATGTGGCCAACGAACTCACACATCCCCAATCCATGGTATTGTCGCGTTTCATCTCTGTCTTAGCAAAGGCCAACGCAAATTTTTTACTTTGGCTTTGAAATATGCACCATTTTCTGTGAAGACCGAGGTGGACGAAAACGACCTTACACTCTTTTCCTAGTCACCTTGCAAATTTTTGTAGATTATTATCTCTTCTTCTCCCGCATAAACTGGGACCAGTATGGACAGTTACCCTATCGTTTATTTCATAAGCACACGTTTGGCACCTACCCTGTCTTCTATAAATACGGCGTTCCTGACGACCCTTCCGGAGCAATATCTCTGAATCTGGGAGGAGTCGCAGTGGTTACTCACAATGAATGCTTGTTTTGGTTGAGGGCGGGAGCAGGGGGTGGGGACGGGATGGAGGGGTTCTTCAGGAGGGATCTGAAAACCTGTGCGGGTTTCCCCAGGCGGTATGGACGACTTATCAAATGCAGTAAGGAACAATTGCCACACTGAATTAAGCTCTGTGACACCTAAGAAACCTGCTACACTTTTCTGAGGGAGAAGCAATGTGTTTAAGATCAACGGATTAATTTAATTAAAGGTTTAAATTTAGCCCTGGAGCTAATGGGTAACTCTACATTGAAATTCCACTCCATTTCAACTTCAGGAAAGTAAATTGAGTAATGGAGAGCAAATACACACTGTCCAGAGAGATGCCGCCAACCCAGAGTGCCAGACAGAGGGTTTCAGGTTACATTTGCTCAGGACAGAGACGGCACGTGGCCCTTTATATGAAGAATTGTTATATTTTGTGCTGTTTTTAGGTCTTTTGGAAACACGGAGCCTGGTGTCTGTTTACAGAAGCCTCATATCAGCTGAGTCAAAGCTCCAAAGCTCAATGGCCAGCTCTGTGAAATTTCACCAAGATTTTAATTATTTTGACTACCTTGAAACTTCCAAGCCCTTTTATGACAATTGACTTAATTTACATGACCACTGGCCTGGAAACTTAAATTTTGCTTTGTTTTGTATTTTCATATATTGTATATATATTTTTTTTTAGCCTGTCGCTTAGGCTGGAGTGCAGTGGTGTGATCATAACTCACTGTAGACTCAACTCTTGGACTGCAGGGATTCCCTCCGCCTCAGCCTCCTGAATAGCTGGGACTACAAGCACACCACCACACCTGGCTAATTAAAAAAAAAAAAAATTGTAGAGATGAAGTCTCACTACGTAAGACCAGCTCACCAGGCTGATCTGGAACTTCCAGCCTCAAGCAGTCCTCCCATGGCAGCCTCCCAAAGCACTGGGCTTGTAGGCATGAGCTGCCATGCCCGGCTTTGGGCATGTTTTTAAACAAAAGTGAAATTGGATTGCTTGTCTCTTGTGATTTTTGCCAGCTGTGTTGTGATCATCTTTCCATGCAGAATATTTTTCTACATAGAAGAATTTTTATTTTAATGACTACATAGTGCTCAATTTGATAGAGAGACTGTAAGCTTTTAAACCTGTGCATTTAATAAACTTGTTTCCACTTTTGCTCTTATAAAGTGATGATGACATCCTTTGTTTTTCAAAATCTTGTCACCACTCAATATTATTTTCTTAGGTTAAGTAAATGCTGGGACAAATGGCATATCATGTGTTTAAGGTTTTCATCCATAAAGGTTGTTCAGTCCGCTTTCTTACTTTTTTTTTCTGTGTATTGAAATCTTTCTATCACCCCCCAAAATATGTACAACTATGATACGTCGATTTAAAAAAAAAACAGAAAATTTCCATCGATATCCATTTATTTGCCCATTTTCTATAACCTTTTGTCTACTTTAAGTGTGAAACTAATTTCAAATATTTATTAAAGCATCAAACAAGAATCAATGTCTATTTAACCTCCAAACTGCTTCTGTGACACCCTTATGGGAATCACGAGATATGGTTTATTGTTCACCTACTGTATGCCAGCCACAGAGTATTTATAATCTTTATGACCACCCAGTGGTGGTGGTGAGAGCATTATCATCGATATTTTACAGACAAGCCTCAGAAAAATTAAATAATTTGCCCCAAATCATCTAACTCTGGCTGGGCTGGGCCGGGCCAGTATGCAAATCTTTCTGACTCCAAGACCCATGCATGTTCTTGCGCCCTCTGCTGGTGAGGATGTTTAATGGTAGGAAATAGTGTCCAGATTTAATCTCACATCCGTACTTGAAGTCAACTGTTATGGAGTAATACGAGCTTTTGAGTAAGAGGATCTGGGTTTCAAGAGCAAGTTACTTACCCTCTCGGAGCCAGTTTTCTCTGTAGGTTATGGTGAGGTACAAATGAGACTGCCTGAGAACCTTTTACAGTCTTTAAGGTACTTTTTTTTTTTTTTTTTTTGTCACCCAGGCTGGAGTGCAGTGGCGTGATCTCGGCTCACTGCAACCTCCGCCTCCCGGCTTCAAACTATTCTTCCTCAGTCTCCCGAGTAGCTGGGATTACAGGCGCCTGCTACCATGCCGGCTAATTTTTGTACTTTTAGTAAGATGGGGTTTCACCACCTTGTCCAGGCTGGTCTCGAACTCCTGACCTCAAGTGATCCACCCGCCTCGGCCTCCCAAAGTGCTGGGATCACAGGCAAGAGCCACCCCACCCAGCCTAAAGTACTTTTTAAAATGTCAGTTGTTATTTATACCATCCTAATCTACTTAGTCCCTGAATTATTCCAAATTCATTTATTTTTCAACTACTTATTCATGGATCAAGTTTTACCAAGTAACTTCTACATGCACAGCACTATCTGTGACAAAGGGATAAAAAGAAATGTGGGAGCCGGGCGCCATGGCCTGTATCCCAGGCCTGTATCCCATGGCCCAAGCCTGTAATCCCAGCACTTTGGGAGGATGAGGAGGGCGGATCACGAGGTCAAGAGATCGACACCATCCTGGCCAACATGGTGAAACTGCGTCTCCATAAAAATACAAAAATTAGCTGGGTGTGGTGGCACATGCCTGTAGTCCCAGCTACTCGGGAGGCTGAGGCAGGAGAATTGCTTGAACCCAGGAGGCGGAGGTTGTAGTGAGCCGAGATGGTGCCACTGCACTCCAGCCTGGTGCCTGGCGACACAGTGAGACTCTGTCTCAAAAAAAAAAAAAAAGAAATGTGGCCCTTAGGCCTTGTGACCTTGATAGTTACCACCATGGAAAACACAGTTAAATGAAAATGCAAAGCCAACCCTGATTAAGTTTCAAATGAGCAATTGGACTATAAGCGTTATCAGAATATGGAAAAGTAGTGGTTTTTTTGTTTTTTTTATTAGCAGTTTAGGGGAAGGCTTTAGGCAAGAGCTAGGATTTGAGCTGACCTAGGAGATTGAGGAGGCCGGGAGGAGGATCCTTGCAGAAAAGGAAGTTTGGCAGACAGATTCCTCATGCATCTCAGGCCTGGAGGACTAGAACTTGAAATGTGATTCTTCTTGGTCAGCCACGTTCCCCCTTCTCCCTCTTCCCTTTCATTTTGCCCCTTTCGAATGCCCATTCTGAAACTTTTTAGCATGCATGAATTCAAATTGCATGTACTGTTTTGACGGACACATATTGGAGGTCGGTTTTTATAAATAAAGGAAAAAACAACCTATAAGTAATCACTGGCCCTTAAAAAATAATAATTCAGCAGACTGAGAAGTCTGAAAATTAGCTTAGACGCCTATAAACGTGACCTTTTAGGGTCTCCAGTTTGGGCATATTATAAGCTTTGTTTCTTGGTGACCTCACCTACCTTATCTATAGATGAAGGTAGGTTTTACAGTATTAACCTTGCAGGGTTATAAGGCTTACTAACAATATAAAGTATGTAACTGGCAGAGTACCTAGAGTTCAGTGGGTAGCTATTATTAGAAAAATGCAAAATACAGAAGGTGCACATTAAAAAGGCCAGAGTGTTTTAGATTCTAGGTTTTTGTAGTTTTCACTGATCCTGAGACCAATGACATTATTAGCGTGCCTTTCTAGGCAGGACCATGAGAAGCTTCAGCTGTTAGCGCCTGCTTAAATCAGATTATTTTATTGTATTTTCCATCAAAGTACAGGCTGGTGCAGGCTACTGGAACACGCACTGGACTGCTAATCTAACTTATAGTCTCCCTGAGAAACCTGCCGCTCTCCTTAATCCAATGAAAATTAAATCCTCAGCTGGGTGCAATGGCTCATGCTTGTAATCTCAGCGCTTTGGGAGTAGTCCCAGCTACTGCGAAGGCTGAAGCAGGAGAATCACTTGAACCCAGGAGGTGGAAATTACAGAGAGCCGAGATCGTGCCACTGTGCTCCAGCTTGGGCAACAGAGTGAGACTTCATCTCAAAAATAAAAATGAAAATAAGCTCTCCAAAAGAGCATCTGTGCGGCACAAGGGTGCCACTTAGGTTTGCCTGTTGACTTATCACTGGCTCTGGAACCCCTGGGTTTCGGCTTCTACATCTGCAGGCTAGATCAAATCTTATGTACCTCACATGGTTATGATGCAGATTAGAAACATGGCCTGGGTAAAACTCCTAGCAAGTGTCGAGTACACAGTGGGTGCTCGTGAGTGATGGCTATTACCATGCTTCGGAGGTCTGCCATTGACAGCCCCGGAGGACCATGCTGCTCAGCAGTAGATGTCCTGTGACAGTTTTTATTTTTATTCTTAGTTTTGAGATGGGGTCTCACTCTACCACCCAGGCTGGAGTGCAGTGGCAGGATCGTGGCTCACTGCAGCCTTGAACTCCTGAGCTTAAGCGATCCTCCCTCCTCAGTCCCCCAAGTAGCTGGGAATACAGGTGTGTACCACCATGCCCGGCTAGGTTTTGTATTTTTTGTAGCGACAGGGGTCTCACTCTGTTGCCCAGGCTGGTCTCAAATTCCTGCCCTCAAGCCATCCTTCTACCTTGGCCTTCCAAAGTGCAAGGGTTACGGTGTGAGCCACCATGCCTGGCCAAGATATCCTGTTAAATGTGAAAGACTGGTTTTTTTCTACTCACACAGAACACTTCTGACACCAAATATGTGTGGGGATTTTCCTACACCAGCCAATGCTCAGACTCTCAGACACCAGCTGGGTGTCCTACATGTCAGCTCGATTCTGACACTATCTCCCTGGAGTGAGGGTCAAATCTCACAAGTGCAGGGTCCTGTCCCACAAGACTGCCCCCACTCCAGATGCCAATTGCAGGTAGTGGGTCCCCAAGTTACCCACACTTCTGTCCAACTTGGCTGCAAATCGGGGCCTATGAGTCCCTCCTGTGATTTGATCATTTGCTACGGTGGCTCACAGAACTCAAGGAAACACTTCTGTTGTCTGGTTTATTAGAAAGGAGACGACACAGGACACAGAAGAACAGCCAGGCGGAGAGGCACAGAGGGCAAGGTCTGGAAGGGTCCCAAGCTCAAGAGTGTCTGTGCTTGAGGAGCTGGGGTGTGCTGCCAGTCACGTGTTCACTGACAGGGAAGGCCTCCAAATGCTGGGTTTTGTTTGTTTTTGTTTTTTGGGGGGATGGAGTTTTGCTCTGTCACCTGTGCTAGAGTGCAATGGTACAATCACGGCTGACTGCAGCCTGTCTCTTAGGCTCAAGTGATTCTCCGCCTCAGTCTCCAAAGTAGATGGGACTACAGACACTCACCACCATGCGCAGCTAATTTTTAAATTTTTGTTAGAGATGATGGGGTTTCACCATGTTGCCCAGGCTGGCCTCAAACTCCTAACCTCAAGTAATCCGCCCACCTCAGCCTCCCAAAGTGGTGGGATTAGAGGCGTGAGCCACCGCGCCCGATCCAAATGCTGTCTTTTAGGGAATGTTAGGGAGGCTTATTCATGTAGGTAAGATTGATTATAATTCAATCTCCTTCCCAGAGGATGGGAGTCAGGGGAGAAAGTTTCAAGCTTCTAGTCATGGCTTGCTCTTTCTGGTGACCACCCCCATCCCGAAGCTACTCAGGAGCCCATCAGGAGTTGTCTGGTTAGAGCAAAAGACACTCGTATAACCCAGGAAATTACAAGGAATTTAGGAGCTCTGTCAGGAACTGGGATTGAATACCAAATACTAGAACAAAGGATGTTCCTAGCACCCATATCGGCTAGGAAATTACGAGTGTTTTAGGAGCTCTGTGCCAGGAACCGGGGGCAGAGACCAAATATATATTTCTTATGTCACGCTGCTGAAGGCATTAACTACCATGGAAGAAAGCTGGCATCAAAACTGTGTTAGGAAAATACATTTCAGAGGCTTCCATGAGATGTCCTCAATCTTCCAAAAAGGAATCGTTCATGCCCGGAACACCACTTCTGATCCAACTGCATAATTTTTTTATATGATATTGGCATTTCAAAGGAAATGAAGGAATCTCCTTTGTTGTGTTACCTTTATTCTTAAATCATAGCAAACGCATGGTTTTACTTTCTTTGAAATTAACCTGGTTTTTTGTTCTTTGAAATTGTACCGAGACGCATGAATAAACCAGCTCAGGGAAAATGAAGAAACCACCCCTAGTGTAATTACAGCTCATAAACACGCAACTTACAGATGGCCTGTGTTCGTGGGCCTCCCGATGCTGGCTCCTCTAGATGCTGCACAGACAGGCAGGGCAGGAGACAGTCCCGCTTACAGGGCTCTCTGTCTCCCAGCATAGCAGCACTGCTTCATGGTGACTGCATTTGTTTAGATGTTCTCACATCAGAGTGGGGTGGATATGGCCAGGTTCTGGGGACAACATCACCACTTTGCCTGCCACTGGGCGGTTCAGCTGAACTAGTTAATTGGCCATATAACCTTCGCTGCCCATGTAGAGGAGCAAGCTACAGGAAGAGGCAGTTCACAGAAGGCTGAGATGCAAATGTCCAGCAATCACTAGGAGAAGTGAGAGTGATGGGCACTCTTATACTGTTGGTGGAGTGTAAATCTCAACAACCATTCCAAAAAGTCATTTGGCAATACCTGTCAGGAGCTTTGAAAGGTTCATGATTGACAGCATGAGCTTTGGAGGCAAACTGAACCAGGTTACATTTCGGCCCCTTCTCATGGCTTTGAGCACTTAGCACTCTACTTATTTGTGCTTCAGTTTTGTCATCTGTGCAATGGAAATGATAATACCTCCCTGATAGCAGTCCTATGAAAATTTAGTGCAGCAACGTAAAAAAAAAAAAAAAAAAATTGCCGCCAAGCACAGTGGCTTGCTCATGCTTGTAATCCCAACACTTTGGGAGAACAAGGTGGATGGATCATCTGAGGTCAGGAGTTTGAGACCAGCCTGGCCAACATGGTGAAACCCTGACTCTACTAAAAAATACAAAAAATTAGCTGGGCGTGGTGGTGGGCACCTGTAATCCCAGCTACTGGGGAGGCTGAGGCAGGAGAATTGCTTGAACCTGGGAGGTGGAGGTTGCAGTGAGCCGAGATTGCACCACTTTTTTCAAAAAAAAAAAAAGAGAGAGAGAGACATGAGAATTTGGCATATGGTAAAATTGACATCTCAAATCAGTAAGGAAAGCATAGATTATTCAATCAATGGTGTTGGACAACTCGGTTGCTAGCTGGAAAAAAATAATAGATCCCATTTAGTTTTACCAAATTAAATTTCCGATGAAAGTTTTTTGTTTTTCTTTTTGAAACAGGGTCTCGCTCTATCACCCAGGCGGGAGAATAGTGGCGTGAACACGGCTCACTGCAGCCTCAACCTTCTGGGCTCCAGCTATCTTCCTGCCTCAGCCTCCTGAGTAGCTGGGATCACAGGTACACATCACTGCACCTGGCTAATTTTTTTTTTCATTTGGTAGAGATGGGTCTCCCTATATTGCCCAGGCTGGTCTCGACCTCCTGGGCTCAATCTATCAACTTGCCTTAGTCTCCCAAAGTGCTGGGATTACAGGTGTGAGCCACCATGCCCGGCCTGCAGCCTGGATGAAAGATTTAAATGCCAGAAACAAAACAAAACATGAAAGTACTTTGGAAAAGTACTAAGGAAAAGACCTTAGTAAAAGAACTCAAGGCCGGGTGCAGTGGCTCACACCTGTAATCCCAGCACTTTGGGAGGCCAAGGCGGGCAGATCACCTGAGGTCGGGAGTTCGAGACTGTTAAAACACACTCTGAATGAAGAGACCCACAAAAGTGGGGTAGGATAGGAGTTAGCTTTATAGGTTTGGGGTGAACAGTGGAAAGCTACAGAAGTTACAGTTGGTGGTTTCTTGCAAGCTGGGAGGGGGTTATATGTTTGCAAGCTGGGAGGGGATCGTAGGGTGTGGAATCAGGAGGTTGGGCTGAGGTCAGTTACAAAGTCCAATGGCATTGTCAATTGAGGCTGGAATAAGACACCATAGAAGAATGTCTCAGGTTAGTTAGGCACCGCAGGGGTTGATCGTTCTTCCTTCCAGCTACTTCAGGTCTTCTAATTCTGGAAGGCCCTCCAGAGGTGTACGTCCGGTTCATGGGGGTCTCCACGCTGTCCACGGCGTGGTCAGACCTTACAGAAACCACCTGACCAACATGGTGAAACCCCATCTCTACTAAAAATGCAAAATTAGCAGGGCATGGTGCCATGTGCCTATAATCCCAGCTACCCAGGAGGCTAAGGCTGGAGAATCACTTGAACCCAGGAGGTGGAGGTTGCAGCGAGCAACCAGCCTGAGCGACAAGAGCGAGACTCCATCTCAAACAAACAAAACCCTCAAAACATGTGCTCATGGTTTGTTTTGTTCAGCTCGGCAATCCCAGCGCCCCAGACAGTGCTTGGCATAGAGTCAGGGCTTAGTAAACTTTTGATGGAAGGAATTAATGAGAACATTTTTTAATCACTTCAGATAAAGAAGTAGCCTTTCTAAGTATAACATAGAACTCAGAAGCTATAAAAACAAAAGGAAATTCAGCTACAAAAAGAAAAAAATACAGATCATTATATGGGGCAGAAAAACAAGATCAAAAACAAACATTATTGGTGGGAGGTATTTGCAATTCATATCACAAAAATGCCTTTCCTTAATATTTAAAGAAATCCTAAATATTGATAAGAAAAAGCCAATGACACAATAGAAAAAAGGGTGAATGGTATGAAGAAACAGTTCCCAGAATGTGAAATACAAAGGTTCCTTGAATATAAAAAGAGAGACTCCACCTCTTTCATAATACAGGAAAAGCAAATAAACTCTGAGATAGCTTTCACCTATCAGATTGGCAAAGGTCAGAGAGATTGGGAAAGCACTATTGTTTAGAGGCAGGGAAGGCTGAGCACGGAGGCTCACACCTGTAATCCCAGCACTTCGGGAGGCCGAGGCGGGTGGAATACCAGAGGTTAGGAGTCTGAGACCAACCTGACCAACATGGTGAAACCCCATCTCTACTAAAAACACACAAAAAATTAGCTGAGTGTGGTGGCAGGTACCTATAATCCCAGCTCCTTGGGAGGCTGAGGCAGAAGAATCCCTCGAACCCAGGAGGCAGAGGTTGCGGTGAGCCAAGAGCATGCCACTGCACTCCAGCCTGGGAGATAAATTGAGACTTTGTCTCAAAACAAAACAAACAAAAAAAGAGGCAAGGAAACACACTGATACAGAATAGGATGGAAGATCTCTTTGGATGTCAAATGGACGATATGGTATATCTTGTGACCCACTTCTGGGAATTTGCTCTGCACATATACTAGCACATAAAAATGAAGAATATTCAGGATCATATTTGTTGTAGCGTCATTAGTAATAGGAAAATATTAGAAATGACCATCATAGGGCTGGTTAACAAATTCTGGTATCACCGGGCACGATGGCTCACGCCTGTAATACCAACACTTTGGCAGGCTGAGGTGGGCGGATCACAAGGTCAGGAGTTTGAGACCAGCTTGGCCAACATGGTGAAACCCCATCTCTACTTAAAAAAATAAATAAAGGCCGGGCGCAGTGGCTCAAGCCTGTAATCCCAGCACTTTGGGAGGCTGAGGCGGGTGGATCACGAGGTCAAGAGATTGAGACCATCCTGGTCAACATGGTGAAACCCCGTCTCTACTAAAAATACAAAAAATTAGCTGGGCATGGTGGTGCGTGCCTGTAATCCCAGCTGCTCAGGAGGCTGAGACAGGAGAATTGCCTGAACCCAGGAGGCGGAGGTTGCGGTGAGCCGAGATCGCGCCATTGCACTCTAGCCTGGGTAACATGAGTGAAACTCCGTCTCAAATGAATAAATAAATAAATAAATAAAAACTTTGCTAGGTGTGGTGAGGCATGCCTATAGTCCCAGCTACTTGGGAGGCTGAGGCAGGAGAATCGCTTGAATCCAGGAGGCGGAGGTTACAGTGAGCCGAGATCGTGCCATCGAACTCCAGCCTGGGTGACAGAGTAAGACTCTATCTCAAAAAAAAAAAAAAAAAAAAAAAATTATGGTATCTTCATACAATGAAATATTGTGCAGTCTCACTACATTGCCGGCATTGGACTTGAACTCCTGAGATCACTGCAGCGTCAACTTCCCAAGCTCAATTGATCCTCCCACCTCAGCCTCCCAAGTAGCTGGGATTACAGGCACTTGACATTGTCCCTGGCTAGAATAATCTATGAATGTGTTGTGGAAAGATCTCCAAGATGTAGTTTCATCTGAAAAAAGCAATCTGTAGAGTAATGCGTATTTTATATTATCATTTGCATTTTTTAAAACCCCACATACATAGGTATTTACTTAGAGTATATATGGATTATCTCCTGGAGGGTACCCAAGAAAGTAGAAATAGTGGTTGTCTCCAGGGAGTGAAGCTAGGTGGCTGGAGAACAGAAATGTAAATTTTTTTTTTTTTGAGATGGAGTCTCGTTCTTTCTCCCAGGCTGGAGTGCAGTGGCTACAAACTCTGCCTCTTGGGTTCAAGTGATTCTTCTGCCTCAGACTCCAGAGTAGCTAGGATTACAGGCATGTGCCACCACACACAGCTAATTTTTGCATTTTTAGTAGAGATGGGGTTTCGCCATGTTGGCCAGGCCAGTCTCGAATTCCTGACCTCAAGTGATCCACCTACCTCAGCCTCCCAAAGCGCTGGGATTACAAGAGTGAGCCACACTGTGCCCGGCTGAAATGTAAATTTCATTCTAAACTCATATATTTTGAATTTTGTGAAGATTCACAAAATTCGAAACAAATAACATAAGTTCATGTTACCTTTTCAAATGATAAATGAAATTAAGAAAAATGTGTGTTAATTTAGCATTCTACTCCACAGTATATCCATTGTTGATGTGATGTAAAAATAATGTTTTAAATTACTTGCTATTTACACTCCCCAATCTCTGAGTGAAATTAACATTCAAGAAAGACACTCCCCATTTATCCTGGGACAGTCTCCCAGGCACACCAGCAATTATCCTCTTCCTGAAGAGAACAGAAGTATTTGGCACATCAAGTAGCTGCTCCACAAATTAGAGTTCCCGTCCTCTTTGGGAACAGAACAGTTCCGGGACAGGACTTGGAGGGAACCCCTGCTCCACTGGCATGGGCAGGAGGCTGATGAGTGCCTAATGTCCCAAGCAGGGCCTTGGGAGGCATTATCCTGTGGAATCCAAGGCTACACAGGCTCCATGCTCTTCCTCATAACACCAGTGGCTTGTCAGGATGTGGCCCCGCTCACCTTCCTGGACCCACCTTCCTGGATCTGCTTCTTACACTGTAGCCTTATGAATTACCTCAACTCCATATCTTGGCACATTCTTGGCCTGATTCTCCTCAATTCTTCAAAACTCACTTTAAACCGCCTCTTCCCAGTGGACTCCTCCAAGAGTCCCAGGGCACAGTTTGTGGCCCCTTGGCTCCCACACTGCAGTCCTCCTCTCTTTGACACTTGCTGCCTTGCATGGTGATTACTGTCTGTCTCTGTCTTTCCTAGGAATTCCTCGAGGACAAGGACTCTGTCTTATTCATCTTTAAATTCTTAGCCTACTCCAGTGCCTGGCACATAGTAGGTACTCAAAAAGAAAAAAGTATTTCTGAAATGCATTAACATACCAAGAGTCACAGGTCCCATTTAGGGAGTGACACATGCTACTGGGAAGTTCTGAGGAAGTCTCATAAATAGGTACATTTAATCTGGGACTTAATTAGCTGGGCATGGTGGTGCGTGCCTCTAATCGCAGCTACTCAGGAGGCTGAGACAGGCGAATCGCTTGAACCCAGGAGGCAGAGGTTGCAGTGAGCCAAGATCGAGCCACTGCACTCCAGCCTGGGTGACAGAGGGAGACAAGAAAGAAAGAAAGAAGGAAGGAAGAAGGAAGAAGGAAGGAAGGAAGGAAGGAAGGAAGGAAGGAAGGAAGGAAGGAAGGAAGGAAGGA